CTCTGACAACCTGATGAGGGGTTATCACCATCTCCCCAGACAGATGCTCTCCTTGTCCCACCTGGGGACTCAACAATCCATGCCTAGCACTGTTACGACCACCCTCCCATCATGGACACCTTTCTCTCCCCTTTCAGGCCCAAACCACATGCTGAGTCACACCCCACACTCCTGTGCCTGCTCACTCCCACCAAAGGCTTTTTTTCTGAATGATTTGGGAAGAAAGGAAGGATTGACAGGAACTTCACAGTTTTTAAGTTCAGGTACGACTGCCTCACTTGATGCTAAAAGTGGGTTATTAAATAAATAAATCACAACTTCTCTTTGACCTACATTACTCATTGGGGATTTGGTCTAAAATTGGGCATGTGGGTAATAAGAGATTTAAAGCCATAAAATATTCTGTCATAAGAAAAATGTCTAAATAAATCACAAGAAGTACATTCTGTACTTTTGTATTGAAATGTTAATTATCCTATTAGAAATGAAGTTCCCCAGAGAGAAATCCATAGAAATGAGAACTGAGACTGCCCTTCAAATTTAGTCTCTCTTTCATTTTCCAGTCCAGATAAGGACTGCTTTTCCAGACATTAGCTGATTTGCCTAAAGGGGTTTACCTCCTGGGAGATCATATTATTTATTGATTGATTATATACTAGTGACTGCTAATGTATTTCATTTATAATGTTTACAAGCTCCCTTGTCTTTTTACTTTCTGAGGTGTCTGGGGGGTTTCTGTAAAAACATATCCATTTAACAACAACAAAAAAAGGTTTTCTTAAAGGCTGTATTCATAACTAGTATTAGCAAACTGAATCTTACTTTTAGTATAATTAAGTAGCTTGATACTTAAAGTAATACCAAATTTATTCCAGCAAAGGGCTACTTTCTATTTTTGAAACAAAAAGAAGCTATTTTGGGAACTCACATTTTCAGTATTTAGCAACTATTTTTAAAAATATTTAGTTACTGTTTATTAACTACCTACTATGTGTAGAACACTGAGCTAGTGAGAATACTATTTCATGATAATGGTAATAGCTCAAATTTTTTAAATGATAAAGTGTCAATAATTATACTAAGTAGTTTGCTTGTATCATGCCATTTATTTTTCACAGCATTCAACCATCTGAGGTAGAGAATATTCTTTTTCATACTTGTAGACGAGCATTTTGATGTCCTATGGAAAATCCTGCCTCTCATTCATTCACTCATTTGGGAGTATTTGCTGAGCGCTTTCAAGATGCCGATACCATGTTTGGCCCTAAAGACCAAGTGCTGGACCAGACAGAGACTGTGGCATCATGAAGCTTATAGCTTAGCAGGGAAGGGAGTCAAATTAAACATATGATTAAAATCAAGTGTGACAACTGGTTAGCTAAACAAAGTATGGGGGGTTGGGGAGGTACTCAGCCAGGCAAACAGAAGTTAGCTGGGTGCATGGGTGAAGGGAGGTTTCTCTGTAGGGAAAGCATCATGTCTGTAACTGGTCACAAAATTTAGTAACACTATACTAAGATACACAGAGAAATTGTAGTTTCTTCCTTTTGCCTCTGTTACGGCCTTTCTTTGTGCTCCTACCTACTGGTGGGGAAGGCAGTAAACCTTAGTCAGATCCAATAAAAAGAAATATCCAGTCTCTCTTGGATAAAAGTGCCTGCCCCATCTCTCAGATGGCATCCCTTCTCCTTCCTCCCTCCTGAAGATGGGACTGTGCGTACAGGATGAGGGATGGCTTAATAAGACCCTAGGGCAGGGAGAAGAGGGAGTGTCCTTGGGTGTGGTGGGTCTCTAGCTGCTGGGGCCACATGCCCGTGTGTCTGCCTGGCTGCAAGGCGCCCGACTGGCCTCCCACGCTGGTGCGGGCATTAGCTGGGCTTGTAGTCCACTCTCCTCATGCAGGCAGGGCACGCTGGAGTTCCTCTGGGCAGACTTGGGCTCACGTGGGCTTCAGCCGGAGCTGAGAACACTCTGAGGTCTGGCTGTGACTCCTATTCAGATCCGGCCCAGGTGATTCACTCTGTGCCTCACTGCCCATCCTGAGCAACCCCTCTAGGAATTTCCCAGATTCTTGGTGACTTTGGGGCTTCTGGACATTGATGGGAGGGTTTAGGGAAGCTCGACTTGAGTATTTCTTCTACTGAATCACTTTACATGTCCCGATGTAGATGACAAGGACGTGGCTTGGTCCACTCTGCAACGGTGGCCTCTCTGGAATGTGGATGACAATGGTGGGGAGCTTCTTCCTGCCCTCGCTGTCAGCTTCACTTTTGTAAAGCTCATCTCACTCTCCTGCCTCTTTCTCGGTTTCATCTTTCCACAATCTCCCTAGAATTGGAAAGTGTTCCCTCTTCTTCCTGTTCTCTCTTGTGTGAAACCCTCTGGTGTATCCCTGGAAATTTATTCTCTGTATGCTAAAGAGAAGATAAAACAATTTAGACAGACCTTTCTCAAGAGGTAGCCTGGGTCTTGCTACCCAGAAAATCATAAGGCAAAGGCCTACACAAGGGCTAGTGGAAGCCATTGACCAGAATACTGAGCAAGACAGTGCCAGGACCAGCTACGCTTTCCGAAAGGGTGCCCCTGGCTGCAGTGTGGAGAACGGGACCGGAAGGAAGGGAGGAAGACTGGATGTAGGGGTTGAGGGAAGGAGAAGTGCAGGAGGTCAGGTGGGAGATAGCGGCCAGTACTAGGGAGAAGCCAGAGAGATGGAGACCGGGGATACATGTAATAGAGAGACAGAACTTTGCGACTAGTTGTAGATGTGGGAGGCAAAGACGAAGGAAGACTCTTGGGATGAGCCTAAGATTTCTGACTTAAGCAACGAAACAGGACTGGTGACTTCTTCCAAGACAAGAAACTCTTGACATGAAGCAGATTTCTGGGATGGCTGAGGTGGTGGAGTTCCACTTGGACATTTTGAAGACTGGTAGCCATCCGGGCACAGTCCTTCGGGAGCCAATAATGAGCTTACTATTGATTTTGTGAGGTGAGAAATTCAAATAAAATGTATTCTAAAACACTACTCCCAGCTTCAGCCTTCCCCGAACATTTGATTTCAATGTTAAATGAGGACATCGGTTTTCAATGTATATGTGGCAGGTTGTGGCTTATCACATTTGACTCCTTCTGCCCTTGAGGAGATTCACTAGGCATGCACCTCCATCCCCAGGTTTTAATTCATTTGGAAACCTACAAATCGTTTTAGGCAAACTGAATCCAAGTCATCTTACCACAGGGAACAGAAATATAAGCATTATCTTCATGCAAATAATAGCATTTTAGTATCAGACACTGTGAACACACTGAGTAGGTGACTGGCCCTCTTTTCTAATTGTTGATGAAAATAAAGTCCGTAATTCATCCAAAACCAACGCCCTCATTTTGTCAGTTTCCCAACTTACGATTATTTACAAAGGTATCACATAAAAGTCCACTTTGTTATTTAGGTATATGTTTTTAATCTAGACTACTTTGGAGGGTGTCCCAGGAAGGTGCATTTCTCAAAGCTGCTGGTTTACCAGTTTTTCTTTCATGACTGAAGAGAACGGCCCTTCCTATGGAGCAATATAAAGCATTTTGTTGTTGTTCTTTTCCATTTCAGGCACAAGTTGGCTGTTAGTATCCTAACCCAGCCAGATTGTGCCAACACACAGCTCTGAACTCAACCAGCAACAGACTAGCTGCATCCCAATTGTTCATCAGAAATTCACTGTCAAGCTCACTGTTGCTCAGCAGTTTTCAAAAACTCAACTGAGGAAAAAAAAAAAAGGTGCATGCATGGCTGTTTGAAGAATATGCGATTCATCCATTCCTCTCCAGATGCTCTGAAATTCATTCTGGGGGTAAGCCAGATCCCTAGGGAGCTACACACTCGGATATTAAACTCAATTAATTTCCACCTTCCCTAAGCTTCAGTTTCCAAAATGCAAAATGAAGTAACATTCATTCATTCAACTATTACTCACTGCACTACTACACCCAAAGCATTAGGTCTACAAGATAGAGTAAGATGCAATTCTACCTCTGAAAGAGCCTATCTATCTTCCTAAGTATTTTTATCAAAGGATAAAGACCAAATAGATAGTGAAAATCCTATGTGATAAACACAAAAAGGGAGAAATATAAAGGGTAAAGAAGCACAAGGAGGGACACCTTCCCCAGCCAGAGTAAGGGAAAGGTGACTGAAGGACACTTGACATGGAGACGTTCTAGAATAATGTGGCCCACCGTCCCAGGAGCAGTGCACTCAACAGGAATCCAATGAGAGGAGGTGTGGAAGGACATTGTCATACCGCTAAATAACTGCCCAGATGAACAGGGAACGTATCAGTTATGGTGCCTTTGGCTATGACACAGAAACCCATTTGGCTTAGTAAATATGGAAATTTATTATCTCACATGACAAAAGGTCCAGAGAGAGGGCAGGCGCCGGAATCCATTGATTCAGTGGCTCAGTTCTACCACTGAGGACCCTCGTTCTTCCTGCCTCTCAGCTCCACCTCCCAGGGTGGCTCTCCTCTTGGGATAGAGCAAGGGGGCTGCAGCACGTTCACGCATGGCAATAAGACAGACAGGGTCCCAAGAAAGAAAGAGACCACCTCTCCCTGTGCCTCCTTCTTACGACAGGAACAATTTTCCCAGAGACCTTTGAAGGTTTCCCTTCATGTCTCGAAATCTTGCATTTGGACACATGCCCATTTGTAAAGCAACTAATAAGGGCTGTGGGACTATCACGTAGGCTTAGTGTCAGCATCTGGGGTGCTGTCTATTTCAGACCATCAACCCGCATACTGCTACAGTGCTGTGAGCACAGGCTCGCTGGCTTGAAAAGAGTCACTTTTCCTTCTGGGAATCTCTCACTGACCAAACTTATAAGAAAAATCCCTGCACTTTCTTCCCTCAGTGGGATACTGTTTTTTCTCCACTTTCAATGCCTAGAAAGCGAGGCTGAGGGCTCATTTTGCAGCCCAAACTCACGCATTTCAAGCCACACTTACCAAAATCTACGAGTTTGATTCCACCCTCAGTGGTCAACAGAATGTTATTTCCTTTTACATCACGGTGGATGGTTTTGTGGTTATGCAAATGCTGAAGGCCCTAAGGGGTGGGAGATATAGAATGACTTTTAAAGAAAGCATCAAACAAACAAGTATTTTTCAGAAGGGTGCGTTTGTGCAAAATCAATCGGAAATACTGGTCAAAATTAACATTCAAACATTCTTAAAATGTTTCACATTGAATTAGTCAAATCAAAATACCTCATTTCCACTTTGGACTTTATAAAAATTCATAAACGAGAGCATCCCCTTCCTTAACTCTTATCAAATACTTCATTAAAAACATGTTGATCTCAGTGGATGAAACATTCTGTCTACTTATTTTAAATAATGGCAAATAAAAATCTATTAATAAAAAGTACACATTATCTGCCTTCATCACAATCAGTCTCAGAAATATAGGTGGGACATCAGAACTCAGGGTTCTGCTGACACAAAGGAGGGTAGGTGTCTTTTTTTTTTTTTTTTTAAGATTTTATTTATTTATTTGAGAGAGAGAGAGGGGGAACACAAGCAGGGGGAGCGGGAGAGGGAGAAGCAGGCTTCCCTCCAAGCAGGGAGCCCGATGCGGGGCTTGACCCCAGGACCCTGGGACCATGACCTGAGCCGAAGGCAGATGCTCAATGACTGAGCCACCCACGCGCCCCTTGGTTTCTAATAAAACAAGGAATTAGTAACGCTAAACATTTCAGATTTTGCATATACTCTTGCATCAATCAATACTAATGTAGTGATATTTTTCTAAAATTAGGATCCATGTTTTTTATTGAACTAGGACTACCTCATAATTAATGCATGAACAATTTAAATTACCTTACCAATAGTGCTTCATGTAAAATATAGGCAATTATGGGTTCACTCATTCTTTTGCCCTTCTTCAGAAATCCCTTCACAAGATCAGCCACTGATCCTCCATTGCACAGCTATAAGGGAATATTCCAAGATATTAAAATGGATATGACATTTTAAGTACTTGCTCTAAAAGGTTTTCTAAAAACATTTTTTTGAAATTGTTCCGATTTTTTGTTTCAAACGATTGCTCTCATCATCTTTATGGCTTCATAAATGAAATGAACAAATAAAATGTACTAACGCACAATTAATTATTAGAAAACAGTTTTCATGTGAGTTACTTTTTAGAAGAGACCCTGGAGAAGCCCTGGGCTTGATTTTTAAATTCAAGGAGAATAATTATGATTCCACAAATTAGTCCCCAATTTTAGGATCTAGGGCTTAAAAAAAAAAGTATTCTTGATTTCTGATTGTTTAATTAATAGTGCAATAAGATTCTATGACCTCAATACAAGGCTACATACTATTTTGTACATGCATTCACTTAAAAACAAGCCCCCTTTGTGGCAAAATTTCAGAATGCATTGAAATAAGGACTACAAACATTTCAGAAAACTGTTTTAAACATCATGCTTCTCAGGCTCTTTAGCTTCTTCCCGCCCCAACACCACAGAAGTAGGGGAATCTAAGTGAAAAAACAAAAGGGAAGACCATGGTAGGGAATTTTTCACATGCACATTCTCCAAAGTTAGGTAACATTAAATCCCACAGAAAACTTTCAAAAGAGCAGCAGATTTGCAGAACAGAGAAGCACCAGAGAGGGGCGATAATTAGGTAAATGGTCCCGGTGAAGCTTGGACCCCGTGAGTATTGATCTATTAATCTCTGACCCTTTAGTCTCTACCTTCTGCCCTGATTCTCCTCTGGGGCTCTGGTCCATGGTCTTACCCTGACTTTTCAGCCTTCTCTCCTGCCTGCCTTTGTTACCCACCAGGGTAACAGGAGCTAAAAGCCATAATTTCCATGACTTTATTAAGCTAAATAGAGGCAGAGAAAATCGGCGAGAGGATGTAAACTCCTGGCATCCTAGTTTGAAATACTGAACACATTTTCTCCCAAAATTTTCCTAACATGATAATTCAATTGTATTGGATGCCCAACACTTCTGATACATTATGGATTAGGTAATCATAGCTCAGATGTGTTGAGCACATACTTTGTGCCATGAACATTTCTAATCCATTCACACGAGTTATCTCTATATCTCGCCTCTCCCTCAGTAGGTATTATCATCTCCATATTAAAGATTGGGAAAGTGAGACACAAAATGATAAAGTAACTCTCGAAAGATCACACAGGAGTGACAGAGCTAAGATAGGAACTGGGACAGTGTGATTCTAGAATGGAGCCTTCACACTTAACCAATTTGCAGCTGATGCCTTTCTACATTCAAAGAAAACTTCTTTCAGCTTATAGAGGTGCAGTCCCAGCATTCCCAAACTTGCATTTTCTTCTGCATCAGAAAGAGGAATACTATTTCGCTGGACAAACAGAAGACTCTTGCTGTCCATGCAACAGAGAACAGGGTCACGCTGCCCCCATTGTGGCCTAGCATGATTGGTTCAAAGAATTACTCAAAATTGAAAAGAAATTCAAATTTCTTTAAATTGCATGGCACTTATTTCAAAGAACCAAATTTTAGGGGTACCGGGGTGGCTCAGTTGGTTAAGTGTCTGACTCTTGATTTCGGCTTAGATCATGATCTCGGGATCGTGAGATCAAGCCCCGCATCAGGCTCTGCTCTAGGCATAGAACCTGCTTAAGATTCTCTCTCTCCCTCTCCTTCTGCCTCTCCCCTGCTCATTCTCTCTCTCTCTCAAACAAAACAAAACAAAACACCCAAATTTCAGGGCCAGTTTTAAAATATCTAAAAATCACCATGGGGAGACTAAGTGTCCTTTCCAATTTCTCCAAAGTGTGGCTTCTTTTTGGCTGCATCTTCTGGGGTTGATTGTAAATGCAAGAGGAAATGGCTGGAATGTTAGGGGAGGGATAAAGGAACCCTAAAGAATGTGCAGGAAATAAAATAAAAAAGGAGCTACAGGAAGAACTAATGCAGTCCTGTAATTCACACTAAGCAGTTCAAATTTTACTTTCTGTAGTCAATTTTTATTTCAAACAGTTGTTTTTCCCATCTAGTAAAGTTTAGAATACAGAATTCTTTGTAATAAATTCTTCACTTTGTTTTTTAAAGTAAGGTATATTGAGATACAATTTACATACAATAAAATTAACACAATTTAGCTGAAATTCTGAGTTTTGACAAGTGCATTCATCATCTAACCACTACCACAATCCAGATATCGAACAAATCCAGGACATAAAAACCTTCCTTGTGTTTCTTTGTAGTCAAACCTTTCCCTAGCCCTTGGAAACCACTAATCTGTTTTCTGTCCCCATTTGCAAGACTGTCATAGAAACTGGGTCATAAGGTTGTAGCCCATTGAGTCTGGCTTCTTTGACTTTACCTAATGAACCTGAAATTCATCTCTATTGTTGAATATTTCTTTTCTAAGGTTTTAATGTTGTTCATTCCTTTTTTTTTTTTTTTTAGAGAGAGAGAAAAAGTGTGAGAGAGCATGAGCAGGGAGAGGGGTAGAGGGAGAAGGAGAGAGAATCTCAAGCAGACTCCACACTGAGTTCAGAGCCTGACGTGGGGCTCAATCTCATGACCCTTCGATCATGACCTGAGCCAAAATCAAGAGTAGGATGCTCAACCAAATGAGCCACCCAGGCACCCCGTTGTTCATTCATTTTTTTAATGCTGAGTATTCCGTTGAATAGATAAGCCACTGTTTGTTTATTCATTTGGTAACTGAAAGACATTTGAGGTATTTCCAATTTGGGGCAATTATGAGCAAAACCCTTGTAAACACTGCATACAGTTCCTCACATGAATATACCTTTCATTTCTCTTAGTAAGTACCTAAGACAGGGGAGTGTTGAGTCCTATGAGTCATATGTTTAACCTTCTAAGCATCATCCAAACTATTTCTCAAAGTGCCTATCCCATTCTGCATTCCCACTAGTGGTGTATGAGAATTCCAGTCGCCCTCCATCCTTGCCAGCAGATATTATGAAGTTTTTTAAAGCCATTCTAAATAGCAGTGTTATCTCATTATAGTTTTAATTTGGATTTTCCTAATGACTAATCATGTTGACTATCTTTTCACGTGCTCATTTGCTATTCATACACTTTCCTTGGGAAAGTATTCAATTTTTTTGTTCATTATTTATTGGTTGTTTTCTCATTATTGCATTTTGAGAGTTCTTTATATATTTAGGATGTTTTGCAAATTTTTTTTATCAGGTGTTTTGCAAATATTTTCTCCCAGTCTGTGGCTTGTCCTTTAAGGATTCTTTTGAAGAGCAGAAATTTTAAGTTTATCATTTTTAGAATACTAAGGAATCTGCCTTTTGTGTTCTATAAAGGAAATCCTTGCCTAATCCAAGGTCACAAAATTTTTCTCCTGTATTTTCTATAGGAAATGTTATAGTTTAGGTTTTACATAGGTAGGTATATGATCCATTTTTATTTAATTTTGATACACAGTGTGAGGTATGGATTATATGAGATGACCAATTATTACAGTACATTTTTCTGTTAATCAAAAGTGTCCAAGAGGGTATGACTGAATTGAGTTTAAAACCTAGTTGCCAACACCGAGAATAAGGGAATCTTGAATACATAATGTTAAGTGAAAGAAGCCAATCTGGAAAGACCACATACTGTATGATTCCAACGATATGACATTCTGGAAAAGGAAACACTCTGGAGACAGTAAAAAGATCAAAGGTTAATAGGGGTTGAGGGAAGAGGAACAGAGATGAAAAAGAGGGAACACAGAGGACTGCTAGGGCAGTGTAGCAACTCTGGATGATACTATAATGGTGGATATTTACTATATATGTCAAAATCTGTAAAATGTACAACACCAAGAGTGAACCCTAGTGTAAACTATGGGCTTTGGGTGACAATGACATGTCAGCATCAGTTCATCGATTGTAAGAAATGTACCAATGCTGGTGGGGGATGTTGATAATAGGGGAGGCTGTGTACGTGTGGGGACAGGGAGCTATACAGAACATCTCTGTACCTTCTTCTCAATTTTTCTGTGAATCTAAAACTGCTCTTAAAAAAATGAAATCTCTTCGAAAATCCATAAAATGTCCAACACAAAGAATGAACCCTAATGTAAATTATGGACCTCTGGTAATAAAATGGATCATTATTGGCTCATCAACTGTAACAAGTGAACCATGCTAACCACAAGATGTCAATAAGAGGGAACACTGGGGGCAAGAGGTTTATGGTAACTCTCTGTACCTTCCACCCAGTTTTCCCACAAAACATTTTAAAACTGTTCAAACAAAAATGTGAAAAGGTCCTAAAACAATAACAAAGGAACATACAAAATTTATCTAAGTTATGATAAGCTGCTTACAACAGTGTCTTCTCAGAAACTAAATTGTTCCACTCACTATTGCATTTTATATCCAATACATTTTAACATAAATGATGTACGAACACAGAAAATATTCTTGATATATACATTTTCCTTATAATAGTATATTTGGTTAAGAAGGGATTTTTAGAAGAATCATTATTTATTCCTTTATATTCAACAAACGTTTATTGAACTGTTACTATGTGCAAAGCACTGAGACACTAAAGTGGGTCAGAGATGACTAGGGCAGCTTTGGCCCCCAATAAACTTGAAATACTGTCAGACCAGCGGTTTTCAAACAGGGACCATTTTGCGCCAAGGGGGACACCTGGTAATGCTGGGACATATTTTTGATTGTTAGGACTAGGCTTGAAGCTGCTACTAGCATTTAGAGGTCAGGCATGCTGCTAAATATCTGACGTTGCACTGGACAATCCACAATCATTCGGGCCAAAGCATCAACAGCCCAAGACTGAAGAACTGCATTAAAGAGATTAAATAACAATTACCTAGATTATATGTTAGGTCTTGAATTATAGTTATATGGAAAATAATAATGAGCAAGTACTGTGGAATACCACAGACAGACTGATAACATCACGTTGGAAGGGAAAAAAGGAAAA